AAAGAAACAGAAAGTACATTGCTTAGCATATATTAATAATCTAATAAAACATTTTTGATAAATAATGACAGTTATACCTCTAAATATAAGTATTAAAAATGTAGTTCCATTTATATTTTTCAAATAGCGAGTAATCCCAGTAAATATAGTTGTGCAGAAATACATAGCCAGAAATGACTAATTAACAGCTGTTTTGGCACAGCATTATACATGTTCTGAGAGGTTTATATATTAAATTTTAGTGGGAAAAAATAAAATTGGACATAAGAGATTTCAGTAGGCTGGAACACTACAGCAATACAAGATGACTGATTCACTTCTGTACATGTTAAACTTCACTGCAGCATCACAGAAGTTAGAATGGCAAAGGTCCATCAGGCCATCTTGCCAATCTCTCTGCCAAAGCAGGATCACTCCCTACAGGGTATCTGTGAATGCTTTGTGCAGTATAGTTTCAAATGATCCATGTAATGGGGCTTCTACTATTTCTCTTCAGACCATTAACAGTTTCTCTTCAGACTACTAACATACTATAATCAAGCTCACCACTAGGAAATTATTCCAGAAACTCATCTTAACATTTTCCTTTGCTCAGTTTCATCCAATTTCTAAGGGCTAAGATAGAAAGAAAGTTATTTTAATTAAAATTATTAATCAAAGTGAATGTATTGACATCTTTGCATCAAATACAACAAGATCTCTGTCAGTTACACAAGCTAACACACATTAGTATATCATGCATCTGAGGTGGTTTTAACTATATTTTAGGGTTTTGTAAAAAACAAACTGGATCTGTTTTCCCCTCTCTCTCTCTATTATAGAAAATAAGTGAATAGTTATATTTGGCAACATTCTTCAATGCCTCATTCATATCTGTGGGAATGCAGATAAAGGTTACCAGTACTATTTTATTCAATAAGGATCCATATACATTAGTGCAGACCCTGCGTAATCAATCCCTCTACAGCCAAAAAGGCTTGTTGACACATGCACATATTCAATTTCTTCACATAAATACCATTCCTCAAAGCCTATCCATGAGTCTTACCATCTGTACTTCAGCATAAAAAAGTATCAATTCAAGCCAACCTACAAAAAGAATGCAACCCAAAGTAACCTGTGCATAGTGAACACAAGCAACTTGAAATGCTATTCAAATTGGTATTACAAAGACAGCCTTTCAAAATTGTACATGCCCTCTTGTCTGGGGCAAATCATATTTATTTATTCACTTATCTTTTTAGACTTATAACAAGAAGAATAGCTTTAGTTGATTGCAATGTCATCATCACAGTAAAAGGGAAGCAAGAAGATTTTGCACCTAGACTGATGAAATTCTCATGAGAAGACTGTAAAGGCAGAAATACAATAACCTAATATAACCGAAATGGCAGAAAAGAACTTCAGATTTTTGTTAACTACAAAGTAACAAAAAATTACTAAGATGTTGGCTGTCATGTTGTATACCTTCAGTTGTCACTATATTATAAACGTGGTCTAGGACAGGTTTCCTATCTGGTTTATGTTTAAATGGGTGGAGACACCATATCCTATTCTGTAGCTGGTCGTAGCAGTTTGTCATAGATGTCCAAGTGTGATATTAATTAGATTTAAAGCGTGCAGTCATCTGAGGCCACATTTGGTACTCTACTCTGCTGGGGGATGGGTAAAGTACTAGCTTACTAGTTGTGCAGCAGCATGATGATTTTCCTGCTGTACTTAATGTTCAACACCGGGGAGGAGTTCAGCTATTGCACCTACCAACACTCCACAGTTCCAATGGGTCATCATCTTCCAGCTAAGGTGAGTGGCCAGCTGCCCAGCGTTCACAGTGACATCGCCAACATTCTAGCCAGGATACTATACTGTTCCTTTTTAAAAGAGCACCAGCATGTACCCAACTATGCATTTACACATACATCCCATCTAGACTCACTCCTGATATCCTTTCCTGGCTGGTAGCATCATGGGAACAGAAGGCACCCGGAGAAATATCCCTGCTTCCTCTTCCAGTGTTGGGATTTGAAAAGGCAGATTTGTAATAACTTTGGAACACATGTGGATTTCCAAGCCCCTCACCACACCTTATAGATCTGGATTGGTCTTTTACACAAGGTCAAATATTGCTTCACATATATTTAGACTACATCTATGGAGCCTATTGATTAATTTGTGAGTTTTATAAAGCTTCTCATGGGTCAGCAAATTCCCATCTGTGAATGAGGATGACTTGGAATTATTCTGGTAGGACTAGTGTTTCCCACCCTGAAAAGTGCATAGTTGCATGGCCTGATGCCTTTTTTTTTTTTTGGTGGAAGTGTGAGCACCTGTGGCTTCCACTGAAGCCAGTGGGAGCTGCAGGTACTCAAACACATGTGAAAAGTAGGCCATTAATATAAAAGGACATTTTGGGTTTTCATGTTTATTTCCTCTCAGTAACCCCTGAATCAAATGTGCTTAATTTAGAAGTAAAACTGACTAAAATTTGTGTCCTCTCTAGCCAATGCATTATCACCAGCAATAAAGATTCTGCAGATCCAATTCTGCCTTAAGTTACATCAGTGTAGCCTCACAGTCTTCCCATTCTGCCATCATTTACATCTGTGAACAATGGAGCTCACTGAAAATCATGGTGTAATAGAGGAAAGAATTTGGCAACTAAAATTTAGTTGAAGTAGATGTTGTGGCAGCCAGAATAGGATCCAGCTCTCTCTCTCCCCTAGCTGTGCTGTTCTTGCAGCGCTAACCACAGTAATAAAAAGATAGCTACTAACCAGACTAAACTCATACGAACTCAGATTTATTGAATAGGGCATTATCTTTTTATATTTTATAGTCACTTGTCAGAATAGAACCACATTTTAAAGTGCAAGACTATGGTCCCTGCACTAGCTTTACAGGTTCAGTTTTGGTCATGTGATACCAATGAAAGGCAAAATTAGATGCCAAACTGCTCCCTTGTCTGGTTTCTCTGCAACTGTATTAAACTTCTACTGGTAGTCTTTGTACAGCACAAAGTAAATACCAAGTGCGTTATAAAGTGACCCTGGTTATGATCTATTTAGCTTCATAACATAGGACAAAATACAAGTTTTTATAACATTCTGTTAAGAGTTGCAAATAGGTTAATATTGCCATTTTGATATAGTTTGCAACATTGTTTATTTTTTCAAATATTAGTAAGCAGTTGAACCCCTTTGGCTATAACCATTAATACATTCCTTTCTCAGGTTTTCCCATCTGTAAACTAGGAGCAACACTTACCCATTTATCTCATATGGAGGATTATGAGGATTAATATCTGTACAGTGCTAGGAATATCTAAATCACTATTATTATTATTATTGTAATATTACCAATTTAATTTTAATGCCTGAGCCTAAGGTAATTTCCTTGTCTGTATTTGTATTACTGGGCATTCCCCAAATATGTGAGCTAAAGTCATACAAATCATTCTATGGGTCAAATTCTCTTCTCATTCATCATTGCAATAACGTAAGACCACTAACATAAATTGCTGTTCCAGAGATGTAACAGCATAAAACTGGTTTTGTAAGACTTTCCTATTTATAAATTTACTTACAGAAACTACATCCAAGTCAGGTGAAACTTCTGCCATGATTCTCAAATCATCATAACCTTTTTCAGATTTGGGCAAAATATCTGCAAGAAGAAAAGAAAAGACAACAAACCTTACTTTAATAGATTGTGTGCAGTTATATGCCTAAAAGCAATTTCTACAGTGAATGGCACAAAACATGCACAAAGTGCACTTTTGTTTTTTTAATTAAAGGTTCCCAAAGCAGAACCTGCAGGAAAAAGCTCATCAGCAAAAATGTGGACTTCAGAGGCATCCCAGGTGCACTTCTTCCCAACCAAGTACAGATCTATAAAGGTGACATGTTTGAAGTCCACAAGACTGCCCTGACAGTACTGCTCAGAGAGCTTGATGTTCCAGTTCACTAAAAATAATGCTTGCAGTTCACAGGAAAATATTCTGTTATTTTGAGGCAAGAGAAAAAAGTCTGTAAAAAATGTATTCATGGATTGTCTGAATGTAACACCCAGCAAACCTTCCAGTTTTCTAGGATTCACATCAGCATTTATTTATTTAATCTTGGATCTCTTTACTAGATTGCCTTATTTCCTGGTTCATGGATGGCAAAGGATTTAGATACATCTCATAACACATATTTCACCAACCACCTTAACTCTAAACCTCAAGGATTATAAAAAGACAGTAAAGGCTTCAAATATTTGTTTCATCACATACATTGCTAATATATCTGTGATGGGTTGGACCCCGCTTCTGGGACGCCACCTGATGTACTGGGATTTCACTGAGCCTGCAGGCTCCACTAGCCTGGGCTCCCTCTCCTTATTTTGCTGAATTAGGCTCTCCGGCCTCTGGCAGCGCGCACACACACATGCACACACACACGGACACACTAGCTGTAGAATCACAGAGTCTGCAAACAGCTCTCTATGAGAAGACTCAGCTAGGAAGTCACCCAGGACTCAAGTGCAGCTCCCCTCTGGAAAGTACACTCAAAATAAAATTGTCTTGCACGGTAGAGAAATCTATACAACGTAAGTTTATAAATTTGCCCCCTCCCTCAATGTGGAGGAAGTTATGCACAACTTCTTCCCCTCTTCCCCCAGTTACTAATTGCACAAACTGGGTTTAATAATAAACAAAAAAGTTTATTAACTATAAAAGGAAGATTTTAAGTGATTACGAGGGATAGCAAACAGAACAAAGCAGATTACCAAGCAAATAAAACAAAACATGCATACTAAGCTTAAGATCTTAAAGAGACTGGTTTCAAGAAATAATTTCTCACCATAAATGTTGTTTTAGGCAAGTTGCAGAGTTTCTGTAGCTTAGAGTTCCAGTTATTTCTCTTTACAGACTAGACTCCTGTCTTGATCTGGACTCAGCCCTTGCCTTTCCCACCGCTCCGTTCCTTTGTCTCGTCAGGTACTTTCAGCAGTCTTTCTTTTTGGGCAGGAAGGCAATAGAGAAGAGTCCTGTTTTCCTTATTCCCCTGCCTTATATAAGATTCACATAAGGCGTGAATCTTTTGTTTCCCAGTCTCCCCCTCCTTTTAGCAGAAAATTACTAGAAGTCCAAAATAATGTTAGTACCAGGTGACAGGACCACCTGACCTGGTAGTACCACAGCTATGTGCCAGGATGCCTCTCAGGGAAGAGAGAGATTAGTATCTTCGCAGTCTTATTGTTTCTTCCCAATGGCTCATTAAGGCTCATGGCCTGTTGTCTGGTGGGTGTTTCACACCCAGTTGTAATTGTTACATAGTCAATATTCCTAACTTTAGATACAGAAATGATACGTGCATACACATTGGATAATCACATTCAGTAAATTATAACCTTTCCAATGATACCTTACAAGACCCATCTTGCATAAAATATATCTCAGTTACACCATATCCATATCATAACCATATTTCCATAAAGAATATGGGGTGTAATGACAATATCTAACCAATGAAATACTGGAAAAAAGCAAAGAAGGAGTACAAGAAAGAAGAAAGCAGTGAAAAGTGATGCAGGGAAAGATAAATGAAGAGAGGTGGAAGACCTAGCAGTTGAATCTAAAGCTGCTGCTATGATAGGAAGTCACAGAGCCATTTACAAAGCAATTATAACCCAGTGTGGAAATTTCAGAATAGGAAATGGGCCAATAAAATGGAAAGATGAAAAAATGCTTACAACTGAGACAGAAATGAAAAGTACATGGGCAGAGCATTTCAAAGAAATCCCCAATAGATCCAGCCCCATTTTCGCACCAGACTTCAATGAAACATGCAAATCTGAGCATCTTCACATTAACTTTAGTCCAGTAAAGGTGTCAGGAGTACAGGCCACAATCAAGAAACTGAAAAGTAACAAAGAGACGAGTGATGATCAAATGAGAGGAGAAACGCTAAAAGCATTTGATACCACCACCTTAACAAAATTGACAGAGCTGTGCAATGAAATCTTGGAAAGAGACCCCTTTCTGACCAATTGAAACATGGAATCATTGTCAGAATATCAAAAAGGGTGATTTTACTGACTTACAACTGGAGAGGAGTCACATTACCCTTTGTTGTAGGAAAAGCCTTTTGCAGTGTGATACTACACAGATTGACAGAGGCAATGGATGCAAAGCTTTGAGGAGAGAAATAGGCTGCATTCAGTCCTACAGGACCCCAGCTAAAGACGTGAACATCATCAAGGACATGTACAGAAATGCCAAGTGCTCTGTAAGGGTGAACAACCAGATAACAAAATAGTTCAACATGGACACTGGCGTGAAAAGGTACTGCCTATTATCACTGCTGTTGTGTGGGATTGCCACAGACTGGGTAATGAAGAAGTATACAGTATTAACAACATAAAAACGGGTATAAGGTGGGAAGATGGCAAATGTCTAGAAGACAGACTTTGCTGACAATATTGTAGTGCTGAGTGACACCCTCAAAAAGTTACAAGTAAAGACAAACAACCTGGCAAAAACAGGCCACACAGAAGGTTATGCTAAAACAACATCCTTGAAAGGCAGATATCAAGCAGTAAGAGAAGGTTACTCACATCGGGCAGTAACTGAGGTTCTTCGAGACATGTGTCCCTGTGAGTGCTCAGCTCCACTTCAGTGTCAGTGCGTCCTGGCACCGTTGATCAGAGATTTATGGTAGCAGTGTCTGCACAGATCGCATGTGTGCAGTAGGCGTCTCGCGGTGCTGTTGGTGCCGCGTCTAGCACACGGATGAACTGAACCCTCCAATTCTTCTCTGCCATAGAGTCCAAACTGCGAACTCCATAATAGAGGGGAGGAGGGCAGGTAGTAGAGCACCCACAGGGACACACATCTCCAAGAACCTCAGTTACTGCACAAGGTGAGTAACTTTCTCTTCTTTGGTTTAGCTGATTGCCATATTTGGGGTCAGGAAGGAATTTTCTCCAGGGCAGATTGGCAGAGGCCCTGGAGGTTTTTCGCCTTCCTCTGCAGCGTGGGACAAGGGTCACTTGCTGGAGGATTCTCTGCACCTTAAAGTCTTTAAACCACGATTTGAGGACTTCAATAGCTCAGACATAGGTTAGGGGTTTGATACAGGAGTGGGTGGGTGAGATTCTGTGGCCTGCGGTGTGTAGAAGGTCAGACTAGATGCTCATAATGGTTCCTGTAGCCTGATTTAGGGTTTACTAATAATATTAATTTGGATAATATGGGAATTTAATTGACTAGTTTAATTTTATTTTAAAATTAATTTTATTAATTAATATTAATAATACTTAATCATTAATATTAATTAGTATGGCTCTTAGGCTCGCCAATCTGTTTGATCAGAAGATAAAAGTTCTTGTCACTAATCAGGCTCCACAGAATTTACAAAGGAACCTCAGGGGTATGACAGGAAGCTCACACTGAGTCAGATATAGTCGTAAAGACTTCTTATTAAAATCAATAATAGTAAGTATAAAATAATCAGAGTTACAAAGTTACAATTGCATTACTCTGCTATTTAAAATATACATAAGATAATATAGTATTATATGCAACAAAGCTTTGGTTAATATGCTCACACCCTTCCTTGATAACTTGGTGGTAAGAGACACAGGTCCAGCCTTGCAGCTCAGGTTTCTCAATTCTTGAGTGAGGGATGCAGTTCTTAGAAAATGCTAAGAGCTATCAAAGCTGACTAGGGTTTACTTGACTAACTTAAACCTAAAATCAAAACCTAATAAACAAACTAAGAATAAAACTTAGGGAAACCAAGCTTAGCCTAGTTCCGCTGAAACTTAAAGTTTAAGAAGAACAAGTATAGCCTACTAATAGTAGCAGTCATCGTAGATAGATAGAATAGATAGAGTAGAAATAGAATAAGTAAGAATAGAAATGGAGATGGAGTGATAGAGAAAATTGAGAATGGAATTGGAGTAAGTAAGAATGGAGATGGAGTACTCTATCAAGGTATGTGACCTCTTTTATAGGGCAAAGTGCCGGAAATCCTTCCTCTTATGCCCAAATTTCACTCTTCACCCACAGAATGTTAGGGTACGCTTACCCCATAGGCTAATATGTATGTGCGTACTGATGACAGATATATACGCACATCAATCTCTTGTGGTGTACTTGTTAAGTCTGTGGGTACAACATTGAAAAATCCCCTATGCCATTCTTCATTGTCTATTGGTCTAGGTAAAGATCTTAGACATAGGCATGGGTACTTTATCTATTTGGATAACAAGATAAAGGTCAACTTTGCTTTCTGAGTGAAAGGTCCTAATATAGATATGCTAATTTTACTTTACCTTAACATACAGAATATGGCCTGTAGGTCTCTTGCATTACAGCCAAACTTATTTTTAATGTAAATTTATAAACCTATTGCAAGAAACCAAATACTTAAACTATAAGAAAAAGATAAAGATAGACAGACACACAGACAGACAGACAGACACAAGCAAGCAGGTTAATCCTATAGGCTACATCCCTTCTGACCTTAAAGTCTATGATTCTTCGAGTGCTATCCCTGTGGGTATTCCACTTCAGGTGACTGTACAGCAATGCCCTCAGAAGGCAGGAGCGACTTCGGGATCATTTGAGTCATAGAGGTAAGTACGGTTAGGCCAACGATGGCGTCAGCCTTGGA